GGGGGCTGAAGGCTCACCCTGTCTCCTTGAAAGAGAGAGAGGATACTGTGTTTCAGTGAAGGAGCAGATAGATGGCGGGGTGATGATGGGCTCAGACAGAGAAATGGAGACCAGCAAATCTGAAGAACTGGTGCTTTGGAGCCAATCATAGGCTGAAGCTGGCTGTGGCTGTGTTATGTTAGGGATCAAGTTCTTTTGGGAGGACTCTCCGTGGTGCCTGCTGCTGACACCTCTGGTAGGGTCAGCAAGTAGGAGACTGCACAGCTAGCCAAGCAGGAGGAAAATCCCGGCTCTGGGAGGACAAACCCGTAGTGAACTTTAAGTCAGCAGACATGGGAGGAAAATTCTGGTCAGAATGTTGGGGTCATAGCTATGATGGGATGAAACAAAGACTTATACGTTTGTTCTCTAAAGGACCCAGCCAGCCGAGTAAGTTTGATACGAGTCGGCTGTGAGAAATTCTTTGAAAAAAAAAATCACATGAGAAGTATCAGGTCTGGGGAGATGGCTCAGTGCAGACAAGGGAACCTGAGTTCAAATCCTCAGTAGCTATGTAAAAAGCTATGTATGATTGACAATGTCTTTAATGCCGGCATTATAGGGAAGAGACAGGCAGATTCCAGGAGCTTGATAGCCAGCCACCCTAGTCAGAATGGCAAGCTTGCAACCCTGTGAGAGTCTGTCTTAGAGGAATAAGGTGGAGAGGGATAAAGGAAGTTCCAACTGTAGAGTTCTTTCTCTGTCTTCTACTTGCATGTACATGAGTATGCATCCACCTAACCATGTGAGCACAGCACACACACATACACATAACCACATGAGCACAGCACACACACACACACAACCATGTGAGCTCAAAACACACACATACACATAAACACATGAACACAGCACACACACACACACAACCATGTGAGCACAGCACACACACATACACATAAACACATGAACACAGCACACACACACACAACCATGTGAGCTCAGCACACACACATACTCACATACACATAACCATGCAAGCACATAACCATGTGAGCACAACACACACACACGAATTTTGGGAAAGGTCAGATAAAATTGGACTAATATCCCAGTGTCAAAAGCTGATTGGGTTGTGCAGTGACTGCCTTCTTTAAGCTGGGTAGGTGCTGTTTTAGTTTGACAAGTGGGTTTCCCCTTACTCTCTGCCGTGGTCAGAGCTGTCCTGTTTTGGTCAGTTTGTGATGTATGGTGCAAAAAAAGTGGTGGTGGTGGGGAGAAACTGCTTGATCTTTTCTTTTCTCTTCCATCAGCGAGTCCTCGGCCTCCAGGTCCTTCTCTACAGCAGCCCCGCTGTGGGAGCCTGCTGAGTGAGCTGAGTAAACCGGCACATGTACAAATGGGCTGGGATTGTTAGCCCTGGCTTGAGACCAAAAGCCAGCTTCTGGTTCTGAGCACCTACCTTCTAAACACTGACTGTGAGCAAATCACACAGCCTTTCCTCTTACTTTTTTTTTTTCAGGGCCGTAGGAGCCACTGTTGGTGTCTTTGTCTATTTGAATCAATAATCCAGGTTCACATTTCATATTTAGAAAGTACAGAAGGGCACACAGAAAAGAGACTTCCCTGGTGTTGGCGTGCCTGCCACCCGGCAGAAGCCCTAGTGGGGATGAGCATGATCAGTATCTGGTCCAGGGTTCCATAGTCACTTTATGCTCTTAATTAAAATAGGAAAATGACCCCTGAGTTGTTCTGTGGCCGCAGCAGAATGGTATACACACAGCTGTGTGCAGCCTTCTTTCTTTCCATGACTCCCTGGATAGCACCCATCACTTCACAGTATCCTCAGTGGGTGGGCTACCACAGGGCACTTGAGGACATATGCGACAATTTTGGGCACTCACACAAGCGAGGGGACCGTTGGGCAGGTGCCACACTTAGAATGAATGCGTGCTGGACGGATGGAAGAGCTGAACAGTGTGTACTGTGAAGAGAGGCAGGACCAGAGATGTGACAGGGTGGCAGGTGGGAGAGAGGGCTGAGGGTGACAGGGAAGCGTGTCGTTGCCCAGTGGGCTTGGCAGGGTGTTGTGCAGCAGCCTGGAGCTTTGCAGATGTAGACTCAGCCCCTGAGCACATCGCCCAGCCTCAGGATAGCCCTGGCGATGGTAGACCTGAGGTAAGGAACAATTGGAGCTCCTTGAAGGGCCATTGTGGTCTGTGATACTGTCGAGGCTATGTGTGGGTCAGTGGTCCTGATGCAGCAGGGCTTCAGGTTGATGTCTGAGCCCTGTGATACCACCTAACACCATATGGATATCCATGGTCTGTGTGGTGGCTTAAAGCCATGTTGGTGTCTGTGGGGCTATGTGAGTGGCCTGTACTGCGCCACCTGAGGTCATGGTGATATCTAGGTCCATGCTGCTGGCGAGGGTCATGTCTGGTTCTTACCTTACTGCAGCTGGCGTCTTTGTCGATGTTCGTGGTCTGTGTTGCCCCCTGCACCCATGTTGATATCTCTGGTCTGTACAGCCCTCAGGGGTCATACTGATGTGAGGCCTACGCTGCCACCTGAGGCCATGGTGAAGTCCACAGTGCGGGCTGCTGCCAAGGGCCAGGTCTGGGTCCTTGGCCTTACTGCAGCAGGGGGTCGGGTAGGGTGGGGGCAGTGTTTGTGGTCTGTGCTGTTGGGTGGAGGCCCATGATCCGTGCTTCCACTGACTATAAAGGGCAAGGAGGCTACTTTGGCAGTGATACCGATGATCGCAGATGTGGAAGGCTTCTGTGACAACACCTACTCCCCCTCCAACACCTCTCAAAAGTAGCAGCCTAAACAGGAAGTCCTTGAAGCTAACTCTTATAAAGTGTGATAAGGATGCTGAAGTGTAGCTCTCCACACTTCATGACTTCCGGTGGGGGTGCTGGAAGGGAAGGACTCAGTTCTATTTGGGGACAGGCCACAATAGATAACACAAATTGGACTGGAGTTTTTCCCCCACTTTTTTTTTGTCAAGATGGGAGGGCACAAGGGCTGGGGGGGGTGCAGGAAAGACTGGGAAATGAGTGTGATCAGGGTGAGTGATGTGAAATCCCCCCAAAGAGTCAGTAAAAATATGTTGAAGGTAAAAAGTAACAATTTTGTACATTTTACAAGTCCAGTTGTGATAAGACCACAAAGATGGCGAGGAGGGGCTCTTTGGGGGTGATGAGACCTAATCAAGGGATGAAGGGGAAAGAGGATGGGTTGAGCCTGAAAATGGGCTGGGGACACAGCGCCTTGCCTGGTGGGGAATGGAAGGTGGTGGCGGAAGTGAAGTGAGCTGAGGAGTTGGCATGCAGTGCCTGAAGGCAAGGGTGCGAAGGGTGGAGCGGGTTTACTCTCCGAGCTGTGGGGAGTCTTAGAAGGTGTTGGTGTGACAGTGACTTAAATGGCGAGTACTGTGCGTTCTTCATCGCTGGATTCTTGTCCCAATGTGCGCGACCTTAGATAGATTTGCCATTGTGCACCCCACATCCTTCTCTGTGTGATGGTAACAGAGCCTGTCTCATGGTGACTGGAGGACCAAGTCCAAGGGCTTCCACAAACTTTGGGGGTACACTGTGAAGTATGTAGCACGTATGTGGGTCAGTATAAGCGTCTAAGTGCCCTAGTGGGCTACCTGTTGCTGTGATAAAGACCATGGCCAAAGGTAAGTTAGGAAGGAAAAGGCATATTTCATCTTATAGCTTATAGTCAGTCCATCGTGAAGGGAAAGTCAGGGGAGAAACCTGAAGGCAGGAGCTGAAGGAGACCACAGAGGATTGCTGCTCAGTTACTCATGTATTGCTCAGTTTGCTTGCTTCTATACCCTAGGACCACCCATCTGGGGTGGCGCTACCCACAGTGGGATGAGCCTTCCCAATCAACCGTCAATCAAGAAGAT